CTTTTATACAATAACTAGATTTTGACCCACGCCAAGCGTGGGATTAAATAATTAAATATGTTTTTTTATCGAATTTAATATTTATACGTGTATTCTAATATTTATAAACGTACAAAATGATATGTATTGTGCATAAATATAATAAAATTACATTTTGATCAAACATAATATATTTTATATTTGTTATTTTAAATTTTTCTCATCTATTAAAAATAATCATGAATTTTTTTTTTAATAATCTAATCCCGCGTTTGACTCGGATCAAAATATTTAGTAGTTATTAAAAAGAAAATAAGATATTTTCAAATATTTTCTATATTTTTTAAATAAAATTATGTATATTAGTTACCACATATTCGTTATTTTCATATATTTGTCACTAAAAAATTTTAATAATTTTTATTAGGAAAAGAGTTTCTTAAAATCTTCTTTAGATGACATATAGGATTTTTCACCTAATGTCTCCTATATTAATGTATAGAGGATTGACAAGTAAAGTAAAAATATAACTTTCACTTTGTAAGAAGTACATTTCATGTCGTTCACGTAAATTATCTTAAACATATATTTAGAGATCTATATATACATATTCCAAATTTCATTCATTTTTAAGATTACTAGGGATTGATCTGTGCTACGTGGATTTATATTTTCCAAATTTATATTACATATTGTATAAGAGGTACGCTGTAATTGGTTTGATTTTGTGCGATTTTAGTAATTGATGATTTTTTTTCATACGCAATTATATTATTGTGTTTATAAGTATTTTTGTTGTCGATATCCTAAGTATAAACCTACTATAATAGAGAATATGGATTACTAACTAAACGGAGAAATGTCAAATGAGAAGTTAGAAAACCACCCTTGCAAATGCTGGATTTTTCACCCAAAAACAGACGACAATAATTCGCATATTATTTGTTTTTATTTTATGTGTTTTTTTGTAATCACACAGCTATAATTAATATTTAAATATTTGAAAAACCCATGATCTTTAAACATTTAAACATACAATCACGTCAAGGATTTTCTTAAACATTTAAATTATAACTGTTATGTTTAAATTTTTTTAGTAAAGTTTCCTACTTGTTTAAGAAGGTATTTAGAAAAGCGTTTTTAAACAAATGAAAATCTTTCCTAAACAATTTTTTAAGAAGGTTTCCTACTTGTTTCGGAAGATGTTTAGGAAGTCTTTTTTAAACAAGTGAAAATCTTTCCTAAATTTTTTTTTAAGAAGGTTTTCTACTTGTTTAGAAAGATGTTTAGAAAAGTCTTCCTAAACAAATTAAAATCCTTCTTAAACTTTTTTTAGGAAGGTTTTTTACTTGTTTAAAAAGGTATTTAGGAAGGCCATGAAAATTTTTCGTAAACTATTTTTTAAGAAGGTTTCCTACTTGTTTAGGAAGGTGTTTAGGAAGGCCTTCCTAAACAAGTGAAAATCCTTCCTAAACAATTTTTTTAAGAAAGTTTCATACTTGTTTAAGAAGGTGTTTAGGAAAGCCTTCCTAAACAAGTTAAAATCCTTCCTAAACTTTTTTTATGAAAGTTTCCTACTTGTTTAAGAAGGTATTTAGGGAGGCCATCTTAAACAAGTGAAAATGTTTCCTAAACTATTTTTTAAGATGGTTTCCTACTTG